GAAGAAAGTATGGAATATATACATATTAGAGTACTACTCAGCAGTAAAAAACAATGACTTCTTGAATTTTGCATACAAATGGACAGAAATAGAAAACACTATCCTGAGTGAAGTAAGCCAGACCCAAAAAGAGGAACATGGGATGTACTCACTCATATTTGGTTTCTAGCCATAAATAAAGGACATTGAGCCTATAATTCGTTGCTACTGTTTTTTAAAGAGATAGTTTTGTTTATTCTTCAGGAAAACATTTCAAATTAACTTATTACATAAGAAAATCCAAATATTCATTTCATTTATTATAGGTGGTAGTATATCAAAATCTTGTGCGGACTAGCCGGTTAGTCTCAGTGTAACGTATTTGCTGATGGCTTTATAAAAAGTGATGGAGATAGAGTAGTTTTGTAATTTGGGCCAGGAGGCATCTCCCATGCTCCCAATTTACTCAGGAGATCTTGTCTTTTTCTACTGCCCATGTAGATTAGATCTATATATGTCTCTCTTAGGTCCTCATTGTTGTCTAGGTTCTCTGGGGTTGTGATTTTAGGCTGGTTTTCTTTGCTTTATGTTTAAAAACCACTTCTGAGTGAGTATATATGATAATTGTCTTTCTATATCTGGGTTACCTTACTCAGAATGATGTTTTCTAGCTCCATTCACTTGCTTGCAAAATTCAAGATGTGGTTATTTTTTTCTGCTGTGTAGTACTCCATTGTGTAAATGTACCACATTTTCCTTATCCATTCTTCCATTGAGGGGCATTTAGGTTGTTTCCAGGTTCTGGCTATGACAAACAATGCTACTATGAACGTAGTTGAGCACATGTTCTTGTGACACGATTGAGCATCCTTTGGATATATACCCAAAAGTGGTATTACTGGGTTGTGAGGAAGGTTGTTTTCTAATTTTCTGAGAAATCACCACACTGACATCCAAAGGGGCTGTACCAGCTTGCATTCCCACCAGCAATGCAGGAGTGTTGTTCCCTTTACCCCACAACCTCTCCAACATAAGTTTTCATCAGTGTTTTTGATCTTGGCCATTCTTACAGGTTTAAGATGGAATCTCAGAGCTGTTTTGATTTACATTTCTCTGGACTAAGGATGTTGAACATTTCCTTAAGTATCTTTCAGACATTATAGATTCCTCTGAGAGTTCTCTCTTTAGGTCTGTACTCCATTTTGATTATTTGATCTTTTGATGACCAATTTTTTTGAATTCTTTATATATTTTAGCGATCAGACCTCTGTCTGATGTGTGGTTAGTGAAGATCTTTTCCCATTTTGTAGGCTGTCATTTTGTCTTGTTGACTATATCCTTTGTTTACAGAAGCTTTTCAGTTTCAGGAGGTCCCATTTATTAATTGTTTCTCTCAGTGTCTGTGCTGCTGGGGTTCTATTTAGGAAGTGGTCTCCTGTGCTGATGCATTTAAGTGTTCTTCCCACTTTCTCTTCTATGAGGTTCAGTGTGGCTGGCTTTATGTTGAGGTCTTTGATCCATTTGGACTTGAGTTTTGTGCATGGTTGATAGATATGGCTCTATTTTCATTCTTCTACATGTTGATATCCAGTTATGCCAGCACTATTTGTTAAATATGCTTTTTTTTCCCATTTGATAATTTTTACTTCTTTGTCAAAAATCAGGTGTTTGAAGGTGTGTGGATTAATATCCGGGTCTTTGATTCTGTTCCATTGGTCCTCCTGTCTGTTTTTATGCCAATACCAGGCTGTTTTGTACAGACTGTAGCTCTGTAGTAGAGTTTGAAGTTAGAAATTGTGATGCCTTCAGAAGTTCTTTTATTGTACAGCATTGTTTTAGCTATACAGAATTTTGTTTTTTGGGTTTTTTTTTTTTTTTTTTTTGCTTTTCCATATGAAGAATTTTGCTGGGATTTTGATAGGCATCGCATTGAATCTGTAAATTGCTTTTGGTAAGAAGCCATTTTTACTATGTTAATTCTACCTACCCAAGAGCATGGGAGATCTTTCCATTTTCTGGTGTCTTCTACAGTTTATTTCTCCAAAGATTTAAAGTTCTTGTCATATAAGTCTTCCACTTGTTTGGTTAGAGATACTATGAGATAGATATTTTATGCTATTTGTGGCTATTGTGAAGGGTGATACTTTATGATTTCTTTCTCAGCCCATTTATCATCTGTCTACAGGAGGGCTACTGTTTTTTTTTTTTTTTATTTAATCTTGTATCCTGCTGCATTACTGAAAGTGTTTATGAGTTGTAGAAGTTCCTTGGTAGAATTTTTGGGGTCACTTATGTAAACTATCATATCAGCAAACAGTGAGAATTTGACTTCTTCTCTTCCAATTTGTAGCCCCTTGATCTCCTTTTGTTGTCTTATTGCTCGAGCTAGGACCTCAAGAACTATATTGAATAGATAAGGAAGGAGTGGACAACCTTGTCCTTGTTCCTGATTTCAGTGGGATCATTGGGAGTTTCTCTCCATTTAGTTTGATGTTGGCTTGATGTATATTGCCTTTATTATGTTTAGGTATATTCCTTGTATTCCTGCTCTCTCCAAGACCTTTATCATAAAGGGATGTTGTATTTTGTCAAAAGCTTTTTGGGCATCTAATGAGATGATCATGTGGTTTTTATTTTTTAGTTTGTTTATATGGTAGATTACATTGACAGATTTTCATATATTGAACCATCCCTGCATCTCTGGGATGAAGTTGACTTGATCATGGTGGATGATGGTTTTGATGTGTTCTTGGATTCGATTTGCCAGTATTTTATTTAATATTTTTGCATCAATGTTCATGAGTGAGATTGGTCTATTATTCTCTTTCTTAGTAATGTCTTTCTATGATTTGGGTATCAGGGTAATTGTAGCCTCATAAAAAGAGTTTGACAATGTTCCTTCTGTTTCTACTGTGTGGAATAATTTAAGGAGAAATCTTGTAGAATTTTGAGCTAAAACCATCTGGTCCTGGGCTTTTATTGATTGGGAGACTTTTGATGATTATTTCTATTTCTTCAGCAGTCTGTTTAATTTGCTTATCTGGTCTTGATTTAATTTTGGTAAGTGATATTTATCCAGAAAGTTGTCCATTTCCTTTCCAAAGTTTTCCGATTTTGTGGAGTACAGGTTTTCGATATATGACCTTATGATTCTCTGTATTTCCTCCATGTCTGTTGTCTATTTTGTTGATTTTCTCGAAGAACCAGCTCTTTGTCTCATTGATTCTTTGTATTGTTTTCTTTGTTTCTATTTTGTTGATTTTAGCTCTCACTTTGATTATTTCCTGCCATCTTTATGTAGGCATTTAGTGATACGAACTTTCCTCTTAACACTGCTTTTATTGTATCCCATAAATTTGGGTATGTTGTGTGGTTATTTTCATTTAATTTTAGGAAGCCTTTACTTTATTTCTTCCTTGACCAATTGATGATTCAGGTGAGCATTGTTTATTTCCATGTGTTTGTGAGTTTTCTGTAATTAGTATTGCTGTTGACTTCTAGTTTTAAACCATGGTAATCTGATAAGGTACATAGGGTTATTCCAATTTTTTTTTGTATTTGTTGAGGTTTGTTTTGTTACCAAGTATATGGTTGATTTTTGGGAAGGTTCCATGAGGTGCTTAGAAGAAAGTATATTCTTTTCTGTTGGATGGAATATTCTATAGATGTCTCTTAAGTCTATTTGAGTCATAATATGTTAGTTCTCTTATTTCTCTGTTCATTTTTTGTCTGACTGACCTGTCTAGTGGTGAGAGGGGAGTGTTAGTCTCCCATTATTAGTATGTGGGGTTTAATGTGTGATTTAAGATTCAGAGTGTTTCTTTCACATATGAGGGTGCCCTTGTATTTGGGGGCATATATGTTCAGTATTGAAATTTTCTCTTGATGGATTTTTCCTGCGACTAATATGAAATGACCTTCTTTGTCTCTTTTGATTTCAGTTTGAAGTCTATTTTGTTAGATATTAGATACTACACCTGCTTGTTACTTAGGTCCATTTGATTGGAATATTTTTTCCCAACCCATTACTCTAAGGTGATGTCTGTCTTTGAGGCTGAGGTGTGTTTCTTGTATGCAGAAAAAGGATGGATTCTATTTTTGTGTCCAATCTTTTAGCCTGTGCCTTTTTATAGGTAAGTTGAGTCAATTTATATTAAGGGATATTAATAACCAGTGATTGCTATCTCCTGTTAATTTAGTTTTCATTGTTGGTGATGTTAATTTGTGTGTTTTCCCCTTGTGATTTGCTGCTATGAGACTATCAATTGTCTGTGTTTTTATTAATGTAGCCAACTTCCTTGGGTTGGAGTTTTTTTTTCCTAGTATTTTGTGTAGGGCTGGGTTTTGGGCTAGGTATTGTTTAAATCTGGTTTTATCCTTCTATGGTGATTAAAAGTTTTGCTGAGTATAGTAGTCTGGTCTCTTAATGTCTGCATAACACTTGACCATGACTTTCTGGCTTTCATTGTCTCCAATGAAAAGTCAGGTGTAATTCTGTTAGGTCTACCTTTATATGTTACTTGGCCTTTTTACTTTGCAGCTCTTAATATTCTTTCTCAACTCTCTATGTTTAGTGTTTTGATTATTATGTTGGTGAGGGGACTTATTATTATTATTATCATCATCATCATCCAGTCTGGTGTTCTGTAAGCTTCTTCTATCTTCATAGGCATATCTTTCTTTAGGTTGGGAAAGTTTTCTTCAAATATATTTTCTGTGCTTTTAAGTTGAACTTCTTCTATACCTGTTATTCCTAAATTTGGCCTTTTCATGGTGTCTCATATTTCATGGATATTTTGGGTTTTCTCATGATTTCTGTTTCTAGAATTGCCTCTGCTTGTGTTTTCTTTATTGTCTCTTTTTCAGTTTTCAAGTCTTGAATAATTTCTTTCATATGTTTGATTGCTTTTTCTTGGTTTCCTTTAAAGGATTTGCTGATGTCTTCCAATTTTTTGTCTTTCTCTTCATTTCTTTGAGGGAATTTCTCAATTTCTCTTTAAGAGTTTCAAACATTCTCCTGAAATTATGTTTTAGGCCATTTTCTTCTGCTTCATCTATATTTGGTTGTTCAAGTCTTGCTGTTGTAGGGTCTTTAGGCTTTACTGGTGTCCTGTTGCTCTTTGTGGTGTTGCATGTGTTCTTACCTTTTCTACTCCTCTTTTCCTGGGGCTGTCTGTGATTCTGTTGATTAATCTTCTAGGTGCCAGTGAATCCAAGATTCCGATGGTTGTTCCTCGGGGTACAGTCAGTGCCACGGTTCTAGTTACCCCTCCCCCCACTTGGTCACTCCATTTTCCTGGAGGTCGCTCAGTGCTCAGGAGCTTGTTCCACTCCCGTGGAGTTTGCTGTCTCTAGCCTAGGTTGTTGGCTCAGACCTGTTTCTGTAAATGTCCCTGGTCTGGATCAGTTCCTGCAGAGGCTAGGGTTGGTCCTGCAAAGGACTCTGGCTCCAGTCTACTTTCATGGATTCCCAGGCTTAGGTGCACCCAGACCTGCAGAGGACCTGGCTCAGGCTTACTCCCTCAGAGGTCCCAGACCAGTGTCTGGATTCACAGAGGTTCTGGTTCCTGCCTATTCCCTTTTATGTCCCAGACCACCACCCAGACCCACAGAGGTCCTAGCTGAGGTGTACGCCTTCTGAGGTCTCAGACTCACACCTGAACCTGCAGAGATATTTGGTTCCTGTGTACTCCTTTGGAAGTCCCAGATTCACGCCCAGACCTGAAGAGGTCCTGGCTCAGGTGTGGTTCCTTGGAGCTCCTAGACTCACTCCCAGACCCACAGGGGTCCTGGCTTAGGTCTACTCCCTTGAAGGTCCCAGATTCACGTGTCTGGACCCTCAGCAATCTCTGACTCTGGCTCACTGGCTTAGCAATTGCTCCCCCGTACCTGTTCCTGTGTAGTTAGCTGTTTAAGGTCTGTTCTGGCCCAGGTCGCTGGTTCAGTCCTGGTCTGCAAAGTCCCTGGACTGGATCCTCTCCTGCTCCTGTGGAGCTTACTTTCTCAGGCTCACTCCAGCCTAGGTAGCTGGTTCAGTCCAGAGTTAGTTTAATTTTTGAGTCATTCACTCAGACACTTTTATGACTGGAGGTCCACATTTGACACAATCTTCACAGTCTGCTTCCTGCTTAAAAAGTTTATATGCCTACCTAGTTGCTTATTGAATGGTGTCCAGAGTTTTGTTGTAGTCAGCAGATTATAATTATTTGTTTCTCATAGCTCCAAACTGTACCCGTTTCTTCATATGTTGAAGGCTAAGACTTAACCTAGAATGCAAGGGCTGAAAATAGAGTTAGGACTGCGAGGCCCTGTCTTCAATACAAGCACCTCAGTAAAGAATGTCAAGTAGGACTGAGTTCTGTATATTGATCAAGATCTTTAGTTCTTGAATAGTGTTCAGTGTATTTGACTCAACTGATTTTAAGAAGCAAGGTTTTTGAAAAATAACCACCCACTTTGATATAGTATTTTTCCTATGGATTTTTTTCTCTTGACAGTACTGAACCATTGTCTTTGTAGTTTTTGCTGTTTTTAAACCCAGTATTTTCACTGCATTTTTTTCTCTTTTTTTGAAGGGAAAAAAAGCTGGTACTGGAATACAAAAGGCAAGAAGTAAGTATTCTGGTAACAATGTTTAATTTTCTTTTAGAGAGCAGAAAAAAAAAATATATGAAGATTGAAGCTTGGGATACTTAATTCTGTAGTAGGGCCCTTATCCCAGATACATGAAGCCCTGGAGTCAATTTCCAGTATATCCAAATATACATACTTGCAAAGATTTTCTAAGATAGTCAATAGTTTTTTAAATGATTTATCTGAGGATTTCTTAGTAATTTTTAGGACACGAATTCTATGACAGCCTGACACCACTACCCTACTCTGTGTTAGTGGTTATTTTGGGTTTTGCTTTTGTATTTTAAGATACTTGTTTTATGATGTGTGTGGGAAGGGGTTATGAGTACATTAGTACAAGTACCCAAAGAAGCCAGACGAGGTTGTTGGGTCCCTTGGAGCTGGAGTTACAGGCAGAGATGAGTCTCACCTGGCATAGATGCAGGAAACTGGACTCCTCTGGTCCTCTATGAGACCGTTATGTGATCTTCACTGCTGAACTCTCTCTCCAACCCCCAAATTAATATTTTCAAGAACATTTTTTTAAAACTCATTAGGGTTCCAGGAGAAACAATTATTCAAACCCATTTACTGTGATAACTATAAGACAATGCTTTGAGATTGTCAACACCATTCAGTTTAAGAATCTTGTGTGGCACCTGTTTACTCTAACACTGCAGACCAGGGCTGCAGTATGAGCAGTTCCTGCCCAGCCTGGGCTAGAGTGGAGACAGTCTGTCTTACAGACCCAGACAAATTCTCAGAATATGATAGATCTGGTATATGGGGTGGTGGTACTGGAAAATATTATTGCCTTAGGGCCACACCTTTCTACTCTATAGATAGAGTTTGCAAGTGTCTAATGGTTTTCTCTTCTTAAGCAGGGAGACTCAGAAAGCCGTTTTTAAAGGTTGAAGATGTGAACCGGTAAGTGTCAAAGCCCAGTGTGGGGAAGGAGAGTTGGTATTACAGAGAAAATCTCATTAGACTTACTTCTATTAATATGTTTACTTCCCTTATATGATGATGATGTGTACCTAGAGCATTAATTCACTTGTGTTCAACTGAATTTAGTTTCATCCTATGTAGATTCAGAGTGTCTGCTCTAGACTAATCATAAAACCATCTCTTTTATTATTTTAGATAATCTCTCTGGCTAAATTCAGTATCATTAATTTGGACAATCATTAAAAATTTCCTCTATAATTGTGGGGGGATTATTAATACTGCTTGGAAACATAAAACCTAAATATGATGTCTACAGTAATAGCTTCCCAAACTCTTAAAGTTTCTGAGATGGTCTTAATGAAATCAACAAACAGAGCTAAGTTAGATTACTTTCTCTTTGCTCTCTTACCTTTTTGGCCAAGTAATTTTTGCTCAATTACCTTTTTGTAATTCTCTTGGGTGACTCTTGGTGTAATTCACTGAGGTGACTAAACGGTTGGAAGCTTCTTTTTAAAACTGTGTTATGGGGCTGGAGAGATGGTTCAGTGGTTAAGAATGGTGGCAGTTCTTTCAGGTAATGTGAGTTTAATTCCTGGCATGCTTGTTGAATGGTTCATAATCACCTGTAGCTCCCGTGCTGAGGGATCTGATGCCCTGTTCTAGTGTTCTTGACACCCACATACATGCATACACAAGTAAATAATAAAATCTTTACGATACATAAAATTGTAAATGTGTTATTGTGAAGAAAAAGTACAATTTTTCTTCTAGGTTTGATGGTAACCTAACATGCCTCGGGAGGATCTCATTCTAGTCCATTCTGATCAGCATAGCAAGATCCTGCCACAAAATTAAGTAATGGGTCAGATATCCTATAATCATAAGCTGTACTAGAAGATTTAATAGTGTGGATAACTCTACCTTAGCATGTGGTCCTGGATTTTATAAAACAGGCTTGGGTCTGGAGAGATGACTCAGTGGTTAAGAGCACTGGCTGCTATTCCAGAGGACCAGGGTTCAATTCCCAGCACACACAGGGCAGCTAACAACTGTCTGCAATTCCAGTCCCAGGAGATGTGATGCATTTTGTTGGCCTACATGGACACTACATGTATATGATGCAGAGATGTACATTCAGGCAAACACCTATACACATAAAAATTAAATAGATTAAAAAGAATGATAAAGAAGCCAGGCAGTAGTGCCACACACCTTTGATCCCAGCACTTGGGAGGCAGAGACACTTGTATCTTTGGGTTTGAGGTCAGTCTGATCTACAGAGCTAGTTCCAGGACAGTCAGAGCAATACAGTGAGACCCTATCTCTAAAAATAAATAATGATTTTTTAAAAGCAGGCTGATCAAGCCACAGGCAGCGAGCCAATAGGCAGTGTTCCTTAATGGCTTCTACTTCAGTTTTTGCCACCAGATTCCTGCCTTGAGCTTCAGCTCTGCCTTCTCTTCATGATGGCCTGTGATTAGAACATGTAAGCGAAAAATAAACCCTTTCCTCTTCAAGTTGCTCTTGGTCATAATGTTTTATCATAGCAATAGAAACCCTAAGACAGTAATATAAAGATTTACCCAATAAATGGAAGAAGGCAAGTCATATAGATAGTATGGAGTTAGTATCCAGAATACAAAAATAATCCCTACAGCCAAAAGAAAAATAAAATATACTAGAGAAATGCATATCCAAATCAGAGTGAGACTTAGGGTGGTTCCATATGTATCTCAGAAACATAGAAATAGCCAAAAGGTATAAGCAACCCCAGTCCATCAGCAAATGTGTGGATATGTGAGGTGTGCAAGATACAGATCTGTGTGTGTTCTGACGATAAAATGTTTTAAAGAATGAAATTCCAGCATGCCACAACATGGATTAGCCTTCCGGACATCATCCTAAGAAGTTGCATTAGTCCATGTATCTAATAAAGCATTCAGAATACTCAGATTTCAGTCACTGAGTCAGCAGAGGCCTTGAGGGAAACAATTATTGTTCAGTGAGTAGGGTTTTCGATTTTGCAAGGTAAGCACTCGAGTGATTTCACAACCTCATGCTTAATATGACTAAACCATACAGTTTCAGATAGTATCTATCTAGAGCAGTGGTTCTCAACCTGTGGGTCACAGCAACCCTTGACCCTTTTCACTGGGGTCATCTAAACCATTGGCAAACATGAGTATTTACATTAAAATTAATAACAATAGCAAAATTACAGTTATGAAGCAACAACAGAAATAATTCTGTGGCTGGGGTCACTAAAACATAAAAGGGCTGCATCACTAGCAAGGTCACTGATGTAGAGGGTGGAGTAGTTGATTCCACAAGTTAATGCTTAATGTGGCTAAACGGTACAGTTTCAAAAGTTAAGGTGATAGGTGTTTTGGTATGTTTTAAATGATGTTTTTTTCAGTGGGAGGATCTGGGAGGCTATGAGGGAGGAAAAACTGATCAGAATATTGTATGAAGAAGTTATTTTCAATTTTAAAAAGTTTTTTAAATGTTTTAAAAAGTTTTTAAATGTAACGGAACAGGCCTACAACCCAGGTGGCGGTGGCAGCACTGGGGAGGCAGAAACAGGTAGATCTCTGAGTTCAAGGCCAGCCTGGTTGAATTCCAGGATAGACAGGGCTACACAGAGAAAACCTGTCTTGAATCCCTGCACGCACGCACGCACACACACACACACACACACACACACACACCCCAAAAAAGAGAAGAAAAGAACAGGCCTACAAATTGATTCTTTGAAAGGAAGATGACCCCTAGCAAGCCTCGATTGTTTATTTTAGACTGAGGTGAATTACATGCTTTCGAAATACAAGACTTTAAAACCTTTCTTTCATTCTAGAGAAACTCATATATTTGTCTTTATTCCTTTAGGTCTTACAGACCGTTCTACCTTCAGCTGACCAATATGCCTTCCATAAACTGCTCTACTCAGAAGCCTTGCAGCCCATTTGACATAGACAAGCCATCCAGCATCCAGAAGCAAGCTCAGCCTAAACCCAGGTTGGCTTGAAACTTTATTTTTTGAAGAAATGCTATTTAAGCTATTTAGATTCTCAATTATTGCTTTTTTTTTTTTTACTTCATAATCATTCGGGGTATCATATTTTGTACGTTGGTAGTGTTATGTGTGCTTGTTTTTTCAGTGAATATTTGTAATGCCTCTTTGCTACATTTAGTTTAAATCTAATTGCATTATTTAGAAAATATTAGATAAGAAATGGGCTCAAATATGAAACCTATTTCTCTTGACCATTTGAATTGTTCTTTAGAGCAGCCATTACTTTTGTTTTTATATTTCTTGAAATGTCCTTAAAGGTATTTGCTTTTACAAGTCTCTGATTATGGCAGATTCTGCATATGATAGTTTTTTAAGAAAATAAATTTTTAAGTTATTCATTGAGTTTAGCAGTAATTTTGTTACCATATATTTCCATTACTAGAATTAATACAGATGGCGATAAATGTGGTGGAACCCCAGTTCAACTCCAGTTGAAGGAAAAGAGAAAAAAAGGATATTGTGAATGCTGCTTACAAAAATATGAAGATCTCGAAACTGTAAATGTCATTTTACACTTGGGATTGGTATTTCTAAAAGCGTAAAAACATTTTTATGTTTAAATCTTGCCTTACTGTTCTGATTGTACTTTGGAGCATGATGGAAAGATATGCTTTGGTAGAAACCTAGCTCTTGCTTAATGATTATCATAGGGATGGAACTCAGAGCTTTACACATTATGGGCACCTGCATCAGCACTGAAGTTTAGCCTGAAGCAGTTGAAGTTTTAAGAACCCAAGGAGGGAAATCAACATTGAAAAGAATACTTTTTATTCATTCTGTTGCTGTCCATTGAATACTTAGTATATAACTACATGATAAAAATAACAAAATCTATGTAACGGCATTAGGTCAGTGCAAGTAGAAACAGCAGGAGTGAGATGTTGCTTTTTATTTAGGCTTGGCAAAGAAATACCTAAGTAACGTCTAAGTAGAACTACTGAGAAGTTAGGTAACCAAATTTCTCAATACTAACGGAAATCAGCCAAGGGAGCGCCCAGAGCTGGCTGAGAGAGTCAGAGTACAAGATGATGGTCTGTACCAAGCCGTGGTGGGGTTCTTGAGGTACAGTCCAGGCTGTTGAAGCACTTCAGGGATGAGACTGAGAGGGTTTATATGATCCTGGATTGAGAGGTGGCAGATAAGTGAAAAGTTAGTGTATTTTGGTCTGAGCAATTACAAAAGACTTGTAAGAACATGTTAGATGATGGTAGTTTTTCAGAATGAGGACAATTAGAGTTTGTAGGCTGATTAAAAAATAAGAGCTTTGGAATCACTGACAATCTGTCTATGTGGCCGCAGAGTTTAGTGGATAGCAAGTGCTTATTAATCATCGCAGTTATTATTTGAATTCTTAACTTTTAAAGGAGTAGATAGACATACTGGTGTACAACATACACCTCTCTAGTTTCAAATACTCAGGAAGCTGAGGCAGTGTGAATATTTGAGTGCATAATCTATACGACATGAACAATATGACAAGACCCGTACTCAAATAAAGATAGAGAGAGAGAGAGAAAGAGAGAGAGAGAGAGAGAGAGAGAGAGAGAGAGAGAGAGAGAGAGAGAGAGAGAGAATAGTTGGAAATTTAGAGTATTAAGCCTGAAAATACTGATTCATAAAGCATCTGACTTCATCTTAGATGAATTAGAGTTTGTTTTCTAACCCAAAATATATTAATACTTACCAGGGGTTTAACTTTGTTTTGTTTTACTTACATAATAAAGGAGAAAATACAGTTGGTTTAAAATTGCATTGACTCAGAAGATAGTTTCTTAAAATTTTTCCTTCTTCCTTCTAATTGTTTTGTAACTACGGTCATTGATTTTTTTTTTCTTTCTGAAATTAGTTGGCATTGTGAGAACAGAATAATCTAGAATTTTGAGGTTCTAATGTGATATTCAGAAAGTATAAGAATAGCAGGAAAGTTGTTCACTGGTTGCCACAAAGAAAGTATATTTGAGAATAAAATTGAAAATCATGACTTTAAGGGTTTTTTGGGGTTTTTTTTGTTGTTGTTTGTTTTTTAATTTAAACTAAAGAAGCTGAGTTGGGTAGGTCACTCTTGTAATCACAGCACTTTGGAGACATGGCTAAAGGAAGGGTCTTGGGTTTGAGACCAGTTTGGACTACATAGTATGATCTTTGGAAAGAAAAAGTACATTGTTTTTGAACCTTGAATTTCACAGAGATTCTACACATGCCAAGAGACTGAGTAAGCAAATATATTTGAGGACTTAGGAGATGGCTGTCAGTGATATGCATATAAAGGAACTAAGATTGATCCCCAAAACCCACATACAAACCCTAGACATGATTATAGCAGAAATAATAAAGATTGAGAGACAGATATCAAGGTTCAACCTGAAGATCTGAAAAGCAAAGCAGCCAACCACTAGAGAGACCTTTTTACCTCTACTGTATCTTCAGACTGAAAGGGCAAGATCCTGTCTCCAGAAATCCTCAGACTCCACATCTCTTCCCCTTTATATTCCTCTTTCTTCCTAGCCATATCGCTCCTATCTACACCTGTTACTGAGATTAAAGATGTATGATCCCAAGTGTTGGCATCACTTTTGTGTGAGCTCCGTTTCTCGTAGACAGATTCAATCTTGTTTAGCCCAGGGTGGCCTTGAGCTCACAGAGATCCGCTGCCTGTCTCCTGGGATTAAAGGTGTGTGCCACCACTTCCTGGCCTGTATGGCTGACTAGTATGGCTGTTTTGTCCTCTAATCTTTATGCAAGCTTTATTTATTACAACACAAATAATATACCACTATATATGATGGTGTACATGTTTAGTTCCAGTGCTGGGGGCACGGACAGGTTGGTGGCTGGGGCTTGCTGGTCTACCAGCCTACTATTTTTGTTGGTGGACAGCCCCTAAGGAAAACACAATAGACAAGGTTATCCTCTGATGTGTACACAAATACATATAAACAGTTTTGTGTGCTGGAGGTAAACCAAACATTCCCTAGCTTTTCTAACTTGTGTAGCTGGCATAGAAAATAGTTTTATATACATTTACAAGTATGGTGAAGTGTTTTTTTTCTTCTCCCCTGTCCCACCAAACAAGGTTTTTCTGTGTAACAGCCCTGGCTGTCCTAGAACTTGCTTTGTAAAGCAGGCTGGCGTTGAGCTCAGAGATCCACCTTCCTCTCCATTCCCAATGCTGGGATAAAAGGAGTGCGCCACCACTTTATGTTTTTTACTTAAAATAAATTTTAATTTTTTTAAAACATGTAAATAAATATAAACAACATACACTAAAATTAACTGGACTCAATGTCTGTACTTAGTGAAATTCTATACAGTTAATATTAGGCATGTGGATTGGAAATTGTGGAGCTTCATACTAAATCTTACACTTTCAATACCAAATATATTTTAGGCATTTATCCACCAAATGGGTGGACTTAGAATGTATAATTTTAAGCAAGATCACACAGTCTCAGAAATAGAAGCCTCCATGTTCTTCCCATATGTAGAATTTAGCCATTAGTGTAACTACTCGTATAAACAAATGTGAGTACAGCATGGCATGTAGAGACAGCAGGAAGGGAGTACATGGGGTAGGGACAGTCATCCAGACTGTAATGGACACGAACTGTGAAAGATGATGTAAAGCTAACTGTTTTCCTAGTTCTAATTCTAGCTTAGAATGTTCAAGTTGTGTGGACTAGAACATAGAATGGTAGTAAACGAGGAGAAAGGTATTAGACTGTGTAGTTCAGTAGTAGAACATAGACTTAGTATATGTGAGACTGCAGGTTCAGTTCCCAGACACAAAAATAGAAGTAAATAATAAATAAGATTGCTTGACTTACAGTGTTAGAGAAGGGACAGACAGCTGAGGCATTTAAATCAATACCCAAGTAATGAAAAAAAAATCTTAAGTAGATATAGAGAGGAACTATGTAGAAATTAATAAATGGTTCTTTTTCTTTTTTTTTTTTTTTTTTTTTTTTTTT